AATTCGAAACATTAAAGCTCGTATTATTCGTAATTGGTTTGCGTAAAATTGATTGATCGATAGTTTGAGGTCCCCACTCGTTTAATACTCTGTGAACTAAAAATAATTTCAATGTATATATATTAGAATTAATCGTTCAAGCAGCGTACTTGCATATTTTTTAAATATCTATATAAAAAATAAACAAAAGTAAGTGCTCTTATATGTATATTGAGATATTATGATTTAAAACTTAATTGCAAGTTAAATGTTGGACATCTTGATTATATATAATTTCCTCTATCATAAAACTATACATTATATGAACAAATAACAAGTAATGTTACGATATAATTTAAATTTACGAAAAAATGTTAAAATCTAGCATTATCTATATAAAATATCTTAACTTTGATGTCAGAGACAAACAAGTTTATATAAATGATTCTTGCAAAATTATTCATGTAAAGCTTCTTTCGAAAAAAATGCGAGTTTACAAAACGAAATATATTCTATAAATCAGATTATAAAATATATAATCTTGTATAATAAATCAATATATGTCCATAGAAATTAAAAAAGTAAAATACTAATAATATAAACATATAACAATACGAAATCGAGCGGGCAATAAAAGATTAAATTATATACTACTTGTATTATTACCTTTTATATGACTTCTGGAATCTTTTCGTCGAATAAGAATGGCATCTACTCTTGCACAAGAATTTTCATTACCATTATTTTCACTGTAGATATATTATTTATAGCAATTAGTTACAATAATTTCAGCTTGTAATTATATCAGTTATGTATATGTACTATAATTATAATGAAAATTATATTAGAGTATATATGTAAATTCTTTTATTTTAATGTTAATAATAAACTGACCTGTAACGGCAAAATTCTTGAACATTCACAGTATTTACATGTTGGCGTTTTCTTTCGATGAATGATTCTATTCTACGATTTAATTCTTCTGAATTTGCTCGAATTTGTACAAGGTTTGGATCGACAACATCTTTATTTGGTACTTTTTCATTTATATCTGAAGCCATCTGAGCTTCTTCCTCTTTCAAAGCTGTAGATTTAGTAATTATTTTCGAATTTTAATCTGTTACAGTTAATCTATATGCTATGTTATACTAACTAAATAAAAATATATTGTATCTAGTTTTGTGTTATTCTGCTATATAGATGGTAATTAAAACACGTAAAAAAGTACATGTAAACATACACGCAAACCCACTGTTATTGAAATAACTCTCTCCTGATGTTAATTCCCTTATTTTAGTTACACTCTCAATTGTGTTTTTTGTATACATAATACAAACAAAAAATAAACAGGAGTTACTACGTTTCCAGTTGAAGTTTATATTCTTAATAAAGATATGAAGATGCGGGTTACTTTTCAAAATGTAGCATTTTAAAATGATTTTAAACTGATAGTATTGTTTATTGTTATAATTTCAAACTATCAGTTTAAAATCATTTTAAACACTAAAAATAAACACTAAAAAATATCACGAGATTTATAAGATAAATAAGTACCCACTTAATGAAAGTGTCGAGAACTTATTGCAATCTACATCCAAGCAAGGAAGACTATAATCATAATGTAAAAAATATAGATTTTTTGGAAAGGAAAATATAAGAATAAATAAGTCAATAAATCAACGCAGGTAGTCATACAATGACGCATATCAATAATATTGTAAATAAATGTTCCAACTATATCTTTTATAAAGATTCTTTTCAATTAAAATATAAATGTTATGAAAGACATACACAACTATTGTAAATATTCAAGGAGACATGCATTAGAAAATATTCAGAATTGATAACTAAAAAATTATTTACTATTCATCCATTTACATTCTTTATTTTGTTTCCATTGTGGTTCTCCTGTTTCGTATACTTCTTTTTTCCAAATGGGTACTGATGCTTTTAACGCATTAATAGCATATTCTACTGCCTTCAGTGATTGCTCTCTATGGGAAGAGGAAACTGCAATTACAACGCTTGCTTTGGATATTGGTACTTCTCCAATACGATGATATATAGCGATGCCTTCTACGTCCCATTGTGAACGAATTTTGTTACAAATATTAATCATTTCTTTTAAAGCCATTGATTCATAAGCTTCATATTCCAGTTTAATTACCTATATAAAATTTTAAAATAATTAACCTTAAATTTACAAAAAATGTTAATAAAAGAAGCATTATTTGTCTGCAATCATTTTCAAAAACAATTTTTCATTAATGATTTCTAGTCATTTCTAGTCAGTTCATGAGTAACATTACAAATCAGAGTAATCATTTTTTATGAATAAAATAACAGCAAATCAGTAAAGAACTATCTTATGAAAAAAAAAATTTGAAATAAAACAAGAAAATTGTTTAGTATTTCCTTATATTGTTTTTTTTAGTAAAAATTATTAAAATTTGTTCTCATCGTTAAATAAAGCTTTCATTTGATTTATGTAAAATTAAATAAAGATAAAATATACACAGTTTTACTCTAAACAAATTTATGTAAATTCAGCATTTACATGGTACATATTATAATTTTTAGATAGGTAATCCATCATACAAATATTTAGAAAAACTTCAAATTAATTTCTACTTTACCTTTTTATTTTCAAAATTATCTCGAGTAATTCCAATAAAATTAGATATTGCTCCACAGTTAGGAAATGTCACTAGTTCCATGATTTCTGCAATATTTAATTCCTCTTGTTGCAGCTTGACAAAATTCTTTAGTATCTCCATTATCCTGAACAAATAATATAGCACAGTTAATTTTATTTATTATTTAATATATGTTATATTTTTTGAGTTATTAATTGATATCAAATGCATTTGAAAATATCTTAAGAAACTGAGTTTTATGTAAAAAATACCTATTTAACATTCAAGAAGTATTACAGATAAAATAATATAAATATGAAAACAATAATATCAATTTATAATTTAATTAATTTGATATTGGACAAACCTCCGCTAAGTGGTGGAATAACTGCAATCTTATCGTTTTCCGATAATACAAGAATGCTATTTGGAACGACAAATTCGTCGTTTACAGCTAGTATTATTTGATTACGTATACTGTCTAACTCAAAGGCATGGACTATTTTGTCAAAAAGATCAGCATATGATAATTTTTTTTGTATAGAAAGTTTACATTCTTTACAGCCAACTAATTCGCGTGCTTTAGCAAAAAATAAGATTGTCGCTTGTATTTCAGTCTTATCCATCACAAAACATGAATAAGAACATGCTTTCTGAAACAATTCAAAAATATATAATTATGCTATCGAGACATTTATAATAGCTTTTCATCATCTTTTGTGACACATCAGCAAATACTTAAGTCTACTTTGTATCTGATAATTAGACTCTTAACAGAGACTGACAGTATTTTCAAGCAGAATTACAGCAGATCCACATCAATTGTCAGCATTAAATTTATCGTTTTATTGAAAATTTTGTAAATACATTAAGTGACAATAAATAAAAAATTTACAGAAAAAGAAAAACTGTACGTTTAATAAATTCTATACTCAGTTCCTGCTGCTCATCTGCATTGGATGACTTGCAAATCTGCTTAATTATTTTGTTAAACTACTAGCTATATTTCTGTTAGGACTGCTAGGCCCTGTCGACACTATATTTTTCGCATCTTGTAGTTTTGTGCAAAAATTTGCGACAGACACTGTACGATCACATTTAATTTTTCAACTAATTCTTGATGATTGAATGCTTGAACATTTTTCCATTTTATTCTGCCATCGCAAATAGTATTTTTTTCCGTTCTGATGTGAACTTACGTTGAGAGAGAGACTTACGTTTCCTCGTAATATTCACGTTAATGTTATATGTATATATATATATATACATATAACGGTACTTATCCACAAGATTCTTCAATTTCAATGAAATTATGCTTATTGGATGCGTTTTTGCATGAAATAAAACGAAAGAATCTGGCAGAAAAAAGTGTGGCTCTGCTCAGTGAAGCGAGATATTAGATCTGTTTTTTTATTGCTGTACTTTCTGAACTGGTACACACAGTACAATAAATTGAAGTGAAATAAACGTATATTTGTTTCACTTCAACTTATTGCACTGTGTGTACCAGTTCAGAAAGTGCAGAAATAAAAAACAGACCTATTAGGCCGGAATCAGACTACGCATTGAAGATTGAGATCGAAGATTGAAGATTGAAA